AACCATCTTGGAAGTATGAAGAGAAGGTGGGATGAGCTTCGTCTGTATAGGCCAGCAACCCAAAGTGTGGCTGATTACATTCGACGGGAAGAGCAAGATCGTGTCTTCCAGTTACTGGCCAGCATTCGGCCTGAGTACGAAGACGTGAGAAGACAAATTCTGATGAGCCCAAACTTGCCTACGTTTGATGAAGTTTGTGGCTTGATTCAAGGAGAAGAGACGAGGCGTCGAGTGATGAGTGTCTCGCCTAGTCTTGATAAGCCAATCTCTGAAAATTTAGCTCATAATGCTGTGATGAACAACCAACATGGCGAATCTGTGGCGAAATTGGTGAAGGGAAAAAATAAAAGGCCCGTTCGGTTTCATTGTGACCATTGTCATAGAGATGGTCACTCCAAATATAGGTGTTGGGTACTCCATCCTCATCTTCGTGCCAACAAAGATAAGGTTCAAGAAGCAAAAATTGCTGTTCCAGGAAACTCTACAGAGTTTCAGTCGAAACTGGAGTCCTTGGCACAACAGTTTCAACAACTTCTTCAAATGCAAGGACAGGGGGTGATTGGTTCGAGATCTTCTGGTCCTTCATCAGATTCGGCCAACATGGTTAAGACATCAGGTACTGCTTTTTTAACCCAATCTAGTACTCAATTAATCATAGATTCAGGATCTACCGATCACATGTGCAGCTCTGCAGATTTACTTTTTAATGTCTCCTCAAGTGCCACGTATCCACCCATTACTTTGGCTAACGGAATGCAGGTTCCAACGCAAGGAGCAGGACAGCTTAAGTTGTTCTCACAGAATTCTGATATTTTGGTTGTACCAAATTTGTCTTCTAATTTACTTTCTGTGAGCAAGTGCACTAGAGAATTAAATTGCAATGTTGTCTTTTCTTCTTCAAAGGTGTTGTTTCAGGACTGCAGCACCAAGAAGACGATTGGTGAAGGACGGTTGCAGAATGGTCTCTACGTCCTTGACTGTCATACGAATGCCTTGGTGGCAAGAAAAAATGCGATGGAGACTTCAAGGTTGTGGCACATGCGCATGGGTCATCCTTCTGACCGTGTGCTGCAAACTATTGATAAAACTTTATTTCATAATTGCAGTACTTGTGACTCTTGTCATTATGCTAAAGAACACAGATTACCTTTTCCTCAAAGTTCTAATTTAGCTTCTGAGGTGTTTGATTTAGTACATTCGGATGTTTGGAGTGCTCCAATTGATTCAAGAGATGGTTTTAAGTATTTTGTTTCTTTTATTGATGACAAATCGCGAGCTACTTGGCTGTACCTTCTCAAAGCTAAAAGTGATGTGGTCACTATTTTTCAAGAATTTTGTAGCATGATTCAGAATCAGTTCAAAACATGCATAAAGGTCTTACGCACTGATAATGGCACAGAATATTCCAATCAAACCTTCCAATCTTATTTGAGCAGCTTGGGAATTATTAATCAAACTTCGTGTGTAGATACACCTCAGCAGAATGGGGTGGCCGAACGAAAGAATCGACACCTTCTTGAGGTGACTCGAGCATTATTATTTTCTGGAAGCATGCCGAAGACTTATTGGAGCGATGCTGTTTTAACTAGCTGTTATATTATTAATCGACTTCCTAGTCGTGTTCTGGGTTACAAGACTCCTATGGAAATCCTTTACGGGCGCAAACTTAATATCTGGCATTTGAGAGTTTTTAGGTGTGTCTGTTATGTGCACTCTCGAAGTGGTGGTAAGCTTGACCCTCGCGCCAAGAAGTGTGTGTTTATGGGCTATTCATCAACAAAAAAGGGGTACAAGTGCTTTGATCCAACCACTAGGCGGATGTATATATCGCGTGATGTTACATTTGATGAATCAACTATGTTTTTTCATTCCAGGAGTCCAATTCAGGGGGAGTACAATGAGTTGACAGTTGAATTAGCTCCTATTCCCATGGTGGATGAGTTGAACAATGGCCCTGGAATTGGAAGTAACCCGCGAAATGAGCCCGAAGGAATAGATGAGACTGAAGAAGTAATCAGCAATAACAGCCCTGAATCAATGCCTACACCAAGGACAGCATCGGATGGGATAGCTACCGAATTGATTCCCACTGCTTCTGAACCTGTTCCTGCAGCTCCAGTTCCTGTTCGGAGATCTACCCGTGTGTCTAGACCCTCAACACGACTTCAAGACTTCACCACTTATCACACGGTACAGTATCCCATCCAGAATCACATTGGCTATGACAAGTTATCTTCTGGTTTTGTTGGTTTTTTATCTGTTCTTGAAGAGACCACAGAACCTAATAGTTTTGAGGAAGCTAGCAAGCAACTTGTATGGGTTGAAGCCATGAAAGATGAGTTACAAGCGCTTGACAAGAATAATACTTGGGATGTAGTTCGCTTGCCTAATGGAAAGCGCACTATTGGGTGTCGCTGGATTTATAAAGTTAAATATAATAGTGATGGCTCGGTAGAGAGCTACAAAGCCAGGTTGGTTGCTAAGGGATACACCCAGACTTATGGTATTGACTATAAGGAAACTTTTGCTCCTGTTGTAAAAATGAATACTGTCAGGGTTCTTATGTCAGTTGCAGTCAATTGCGGGTGGCCCTTATTTCAAATGGACGTGAAGAATGCATTCCTTCATGGTGATCTCGAAGAGGAAGTGTACATGGATCTTCCGCCTGGGCACCGCTTGCAAAGAGAAGAAGGGATGGTGTGTAGACTCAGGAAGTCTATATATGGACTCAAACAGTCCCCTCGGGCTTGGTATGGAAAACTTAGCACCTCGCTTCTTAAGTTTGGATATAAGCGGGGAGCAACAGATTCCTCTATGTTTACCAAGACTGATGAAAATGGTCTTGTGGTATTACTTGTATATGTCGACGATATTGTCATCACTGGGAGTAATCAGTCAGGGATTGATGTGCTCAAAACTCAGTTGCGCCAGGAGTTCGATATTAAAGATCTTGGACGGCTGAAATATTTCTTGGGCATTGAGGTGGCAAATTCTAGCAAAGGCTTGTTTCTTTCACAACGAAAATATGTTTTAGATCTATTGAAGGAGACTGGCAAGATAGGTGCAAAACCAGCTAGTGTTCCCATGGACTACAGCAAGAAAATGGTTTCGGATGACTTTCCTTTGCAGGATGTGGGTCAATTTCAACGTCTTGTCGGTAGACTAATCTACTTAACTATTACCAGACCTGATATTACTTATGCTGTTAGTTTCGTGAGTCAGTTCATGCAAAATCCTACACAAGGACATATGTGTTTAGTTGATTATCTGCTAAGGTACTTAAAGGCCACACCAGGGAGAGGTTTATTGATGAAGAACAATGGTCATACAGAAATAGTCGGATATACGGATGCAGATTGGGCTGGAAGCCCTCATGACTGAAAATCCACCTCTGGATTCTGTATGTTCGTAGGAGGTAATGTTGTCACATGGAAAAGTAAGAAACAATCTGTGGTTGCCCGGTCAAGTGCTGAAGCAGAGTATCGAGCAATGGCATCTGCTACTAGTGAAATTGTTTGGCTACAACTGCTACTTCAAGAATTGGGTTGTAGGCCTTCAGATTCACCTACGAAATTATTTTGTGACAACCAAGCCGCTACTCACATTGCCTTGAACCCTGTGTTTCATGAAAGGACTAAACACATTGAGGTGGACTGCCATTTCGTACGGGAAAAGGTTCAAGACAAAACCATTGAGACAACTTATATCCAGAGTGGAGAACAATTGGCGGATGTGTTCACCAAAGCTCTTCCTAAGGGGCCATTTCAAGAGATAGTGAGCAAGTTGACCTCCGATGATATCTTTGCTCCAACTTGAGGGGGAGTGTTGGCGTGATTGGTGCTGGTTCTCTTTCTTTTGGGAAGAAATTATGTAGATTTGTTTGATTTCTGTAATTTTGGGAATTGTCTATTTTGGCTTTAGGTTTTCTCGTTGTCTTCCTTTCCTGTACTTCATCAATAAAAGGCAGTCCCTCTCTCAAAGACAAGATAACAAAAAAGAAAAACTTTGAGAGAGGATTACCCGAGGACGTAGGCACATTGCTGAACCTCGTTAAATCGTGTCTTCTTGTCTAATTTCTTCGTAAAGGATTACGTTGAACATTTTTATATAGTTAGAGACCAAATTGAACATGTACCAAAAGTTTGGGAATAATATTAAACAAATTAAAAATTCGGCAATGAGGGGATCTATGCTGAGAGCCAGGGAAAACCAGGTCAGCTTACAGCAGGTATGCTATTCCACATGGGCGAACCTCTTGTTCAAGCCCTTCAGGAACTGCTTTTTAGCTGCAAAACTACCCGGAGATTTAGCTCAGAGCATAGAGACGCTCAGAGTGACCAGGATGATGTTATGCCCAACTGGCCGAGCTGCATTTCTTAGAGGATCATGTCAGGCTTTGAAGAAAGAGATTTTTAGAAAGGCATGGAAAGTGAGAGGATTTAGATTTCACAACTTTCTCTCTTATTCCAAACCGAAGGATTACATGGCCTTATATAGGCATTGGGGAATACATGCTGGACGACGGTCCAGATAAGACAAAACATACTTAGAACGAGTACATTATTGGACTTCTGTCCGCATAAAACAAAACTCACATAAACTAAATACATTATTTGGCACACATTGAGTTAAAGTTTATGGATCAAAGCAAATTAAAAATTTATGGATCATATTGCATATTAGATCAAAGTTCATGGACTGTTTGTGTTATTTTCCCTTTTTATTACGAGGTCAAAATGAAAATCTGTTTTACCACAAAACCGACACCGTCTTTTACGAAGGTCAACAAAAGTAACCCCTCCCAAAACACGGTTTCTGCTGACCAAAAGAAAGGAAAGAAAAAAAAACGCGGTTTCTTCACCGACCACCGATTACCGGCTCGTGACCGCGATTCTCCTGGCGGGGCCATACAGTGGGCAGGTTCGGTTCCGCCGAACCTCGCCCCCACCGCCTAGGTTCGTGGCCCGCTTCCCTCTATATATACCCACCCACCTCTCCCACTGTACCACGCACGCCTCGCCATCCGGTCCGACCCGACCCGACCCGACCAAATCCATTTGCCCCCTCTCGCTCTCTCGTCTCGTCTCTCGGAGATATTGCGCCGCCGTTCAAGGTAATACGACTGATGGCCTCTCGTTTTCAATCCTTCTCGGATTTCGAGCGCCCTTTTCGCGGGTTCGATCGCGCGTAAACTAGAGATTACAGTCGAATTCGAGTCTGCGCTTGCTGATCCCATGTTGACTCGCTTGGATCCGAGAGAAAGTTGAAGATGGATCGAGCTTTTCCCCGATTTTTTTTTTGTTGACGTACGGATTCGTCCGTGCCGTTTGATTGTCTTGAAGTGCCGAGGGATTCTGTTTTTTTGGAGAGATTCGTAGCTTGTTTGCTTTGATCTGTGGCGAGCTCGCGCTGATTTGGGAGGAGGAGGAGGAGGATAATCGCGCTTTTGTATCAGCTCTCCTCGCGTTATGTACCGTTTGAGCTTGTTAGCTTCGTGTTTGTGAATATATTAGGGCTTTTGGAGGCTCTAGCGAGCGTCTGTGTTGCGGTTGCGGTCGATAACGGCATGGAGAGCTCAAACAGCGAGGATCACTTCGAGGTCGCGGCAAAATATGGTCATTGGGACGTTTTGAGGGTTTTAGTAGCAAAATTATAGGATGTTTGGTACTAGGTTTGGTCTTGTTTTCTTGCATGACGAAAATAGTTATGCGGAAGAACAATCTGGTCTTATGTTTGTTGGTAGAATTTGAGAAAAGGTTTGTTTTTTTTTTTTGGATCCCAATGGAATGGTAAAACGAGGAAAGAAAAGGAGCTCGTGGGATGGGTATTGTGCTAGTTGTTTGGGTCTCTGGAAAGATAATATAATCACACAGCAGCTGTTCTTTTCTGCTGTATGCACTGATCTAGCTCTTGGCTAGTTGATCGCAAATGATCTGCTGATCTAGAGGGAGAGAAGGGATATGGGCTCCATGATCTGTTTAATATGGCTGTGGTTTGTTTATTCTATGACGCATCTGATGCCGAATTACTTCTGATTCTTTCTTTAACATTTGGTGAACAGATAGGGAGTTGCTAGAGGCAAGTTATTTCGAAGATGGCGCTTGTTTCAGGAGGAAGGTCGTCCACATTGAACCCAGATGCCCCTCTATTCATACCCGCCGCTGTTCGCCAAGTCGAGGATTTCTCCCCAGAATGGTGGCAGCTGGTTACGACCTCTACATGGTATCGTGATTACTGGCTCAGCGAACATCCTGAAGGGCTTTATGACAATGTGGACTTGGAGGATGAACCTTATGGTAGCGACGTGGCAGATTTGCTTCCAGATACCTTTGATCTCAATGCTGAAGATTTTTCCATCATGGAATCCCAGTTCGAGGAGTTCATCCAATTTGCTGAGTCTGAGGGGAACGAATTGTGTTTTCCACCATTCGATGGAACAAGCGGAAAAGGTATACTGCTAGATTCCTGGAAGTCCTTGTTGGGAGAAATGTTCATTGTTTGTAACTTTTCTCATGATAACTCCATCTCTCTCCTTTCAGTCAAAATAAGCTTATGCCCAGTGTCTAAGAAGTATAGGACCAAAGCAAGCGAAAAGATCTCTCCATCCTAATCTATATCAAAACTGATCACAAATCCAAAACTGGAATAGAAAAACTTCATTTGATGTAGATTTAAGGAGCTCTACAGCTTTTATGAGAAAGCCATACTTGCAGAAGAGGGCATACTTGCTTAAACTTGTTGGGTCTTCTTTGGTTATGTCGAACTCCTAACAAATAATGGTCTTTGTTCTTGTTTTCTCCGAATTAGCAGGCCTTCAAGATATTGCGCCAATGAAGCAGAATGCAGACTTGTTCAAGTCTTTGGACGTTGAACGCCAATGGACAAAGAAAGAACCGGCAAAATATGCGGAGAAGCCAGCCAAGAATGTGAATGCAAAATGCAGCCCCCGCTTCATCCAACAGCCTCGCTGAAGTTCCCTCTCAGGATAGTTCTTCAGAGTAGGCTTGCATCCCTACTGGGGTAGCTTTTTTCCTGTTTCCTGTAGCTTCTTTCTGTAGAGCAAGGTCGCTTTATCTGGCCCTTGACCCTCTGCCATGTATTTTCCTTTCTTAACCAAAGGCACTTTGTGAAAATGTAAAAAAATCAAAGTGTACAATCAACTAGAAAAAGAAAAGAGAAATCCACTTGTTCAGCCTACCTTATTCGTGCATCTGTTTTCATATGTTTCATCGTACAGAGCTGTAGTTTCGCAAAGGGACGTTTCATAGTATTTTGGGACGGCCATTTTGACAACTTTGTTACTTCCAGCCGCGTTGTGATACCTCGCCATCTTCTCAACGTCAAATGAGTCGAGTGTAGGATGATGAGGAAAACAGAATGTTTTAAGGATTATGCCACTGACTGGGTCCGATAGTGAACTAAGGTGACTGCTGATTGGATTTCGTGGAACATACCACCTTCCAATTCTGAACTTTATAACCTAGTCTCTTCGACAACTTTCCTCCGTACATCGATATCGTCAGCAGGAGAATCAAAGGGTTACCTACCTCTACCTGTCATTTCTTCCCCGATTTTTCCATCGAGAATTACTAGATCGGACGTCATTGTCCTGAACCAAAGGGTCACCTACCTCCACAGGAATAATTTCGACATTAGCAGATTAAGATGCAACTAGAACTTACTTAGTTGAGTAAAAAAAGGGACACTGGTTTAAGTGATGCTGCCTCAAGAAAAGGAAGATTTTCGCGCCGGCAAACCTCGTGAATAATTTCAAGAGATGCATCTTTATCAACCCCTTGAATAGAAAACCAGTTGTTACATTTAGTTTGAATCATTCTACAATCATCTAACAGCTGATGACATTCTGACATCGTTGTAGCAGCATCAGTACTCACACTGATTCATTTGCACCTCCCCTGCCTTCTGAATCCAAAATTGGTGTTTGAAAAAGCCGACAAAAAGCGGGAGCTCTGTCTGTGGGCACATGAACCAAGCGCTCGGCACAAAAAGGCTGCATTGTTCCCCATGGCCTATAAATCTCTGCCACAGACCTTAATGCTCAATTACATCGCCAAAAGGGCGTTCATGCTTCAAACAGAGACCTGAGAAAGCAAATCATCAGTCTCCTCTTGGAGTTCCTTCTCTCTCTTGGATTCAAGTTTGTTTTGGTTGCCAATGGCTTCAGATATAGCTTTCGGCAGCCAGAACCCAGGTCTTTCAAGGAAAGGAGCCCGATCTAGAACCAAAGGTTCTCGTAAAGTGACTTCGATGCCATTGTATGTCCACAATGACAGGGTTGCCTCACCCTTGAGACCTACAGAAAACCAACCGAGTCCAGCTATTGCAATGTCCAAACTATTCACATCCCAACTGGTCCCGGAAACTTTGATTTCCCTTTCCTCCCATTTGCCTAATTCAGAGGCTCTTTCTTTTCCAACTGGAGGCTGAGAAAAAAGAGAGAACTCAGAATCATTGTCACAAGAAACACTGAATTTAGTTTGGACAAATTTATTTTGTCAGCGACCACGTGGACACCCATCACAACATTTGCCAACAATTCAGTTCTAAATTGGTCAAGCTTTTAAGTGCACGTTCCCATAAGAAAAGGAAACGTGACGGAACATTGAGACTCAGTAAGCTAAAATAAACTCTGAAGATGCGATTACATCCCAAATTTGAAATGTTCTTTCAGCTTCAAAACTCAAGGACACAGAGCAATATGTGGAGAGAAACCAAACAGCTAAGGACAAGCTCAGGCATTTTCAGCTACAATATGCTCATTACGACTGAGTAGGGAAACAAGTACGGAAATACACATTTACAGTATCAAACCAGAACAAGAATATATATAAGCCAAACTAGGAACTCCATTGTTTTGATTGATAAACGAGGAACCCCATGTTACTTGTAGTAAAAAAATTCGCCAGGCACTTACCTGCAACCTTATGCCAACATGGTTTCTCCAAATCTCTTCAGCATTTTCAATTTTCCCTAAATGTAGAGAGACGCTTGGAGATGCCCAGATCGTGACATAAATTGTCTCTACAGAAGCTTGATTAAGGTCTAATCTCGTTAAGCCACCAACATGCACAGCCTGCCCACCCTACAAAAGCACAAGGAAGAATTAGTTCCTATGGCACAACCGACTCAAGCATCCATTGTAGGAACGCACCTACACAAAGCTTAGAAATGCCCAACATCTGTGTATCGTGAAGGTCCCACATTATTAAAAGTCTATACAGGCACATATCCTCCAGCTTTCTGCCAGCGCCATCTATAATCCTTCCAGGGGAAGAGGAAAAAAAGGCCTTTTGTTAAACTGAAGACCTTTACTAGGCTGGTGAAACTGGTGACCACCTCATCTCAATAAGCATGTTTTTTGAGATCGTTTAATCACAACATTGGCTATAAAGAGACAGTTTATGCCCTTAAAAGGTAATCCTAGTGCAGAAAATCTTAAGCACGTCAAGTTCAACTCTTTACCTTGTAAGTCAGTGATAGAGGGGAATGTATCATGCCGTTTATCATGATATGGTATCACTATCGATGAAAAATTTATGTAAAAGAATTTGTTGGTAAGAAGCTTGCCTTCACTCTGTAAGTCCGAGGTTGTAGCTCTTTTCTTATTTCGATCATTTTCTGCTCATCCCTGTTCAGTCTCATAGACATCAAGTATGGATGAAGAAGCCCTGGCGTGTCGTACATCTTTGCCTTGGCTGACAGAATCCCTCCAATCCTCAAAATACCCAGTGTCGTCCCAGGAATGGGAGCTTCCGTCAGTTTCGTGATTTTTGCTCCTTCCTTCCTTGCCATAATATTAATTAGAGTAGATTTTCCAGCATTTTGTGCCCCAACTACCCACACATTTCCTCTTGGACCTGCCAGCTGCTTGATGAACGCCAACAAATTCCTCACTCCCAAATCCTTACGAGAACTGACCATATAAACTCCACTTAGCTTAGGTGCTCCTCCTGCCTTAGCACGGTGCCGGACCCAACTATCTAATCTTGCGGGCGAAATTTGAGAAGGGAGCAGATCCACCTTTGTAGCCACAAGAACAAGCTTGGGCAACTTCTTATTAAGCTTCGGGTCATTTTTAGTCCCTTCAATTGCCTCGAACAAGGTCTTTGCTGCTCTTTTCGGGAAAGACCCATCGAAATCGACACAATCAACCACCATAACCACAACAGTAGAATTTGCGTTTCCGGTGGGCTTCATCAAACGGGTGGTGATTAACCTATCGAAATCAAAATCGGGTATCAAGTTCTCAGCTGCTTGGTTTTTCACATGCCCGTAGTTCCTCAACGAATGGCATCGAGCGCACACCGTGACCTTCTCTATCTCCTTCCGAGCCTCTCTAGCCAATCTCTTCCTTTCGGCTTTCGACAACTTCTCCTTCTTCTTCTGCTGCTGTCGCTCCACAATCTCCTCCGTGATGTTGCCATACCCAACTCCAGCGGGCGTGAAACCATCCAATTCCAAATCCTCCGAACCGCTGTCCTCCAAGAACTCCCCCTCCCATCCATCACTCTCCCAATCAAACTCGCCTCCCACCTCACCATCCATCCCCAATTGACCCTCGACAACGTCCCCAAGCTCCCCGATTTCTTCTTCGAAATGGTCCTCCACGACACCATCACCACTCTCATCCTCATCCTCATCTCCCGACGCTTCTCCCTCACCGACCTTCCGCTTCTGGTAATACCCAGGAAGGTCCGGGTCCTCGTCCTGCATGAAGACCCCGCACCCGGGACAAATCTGCCCGCGCTGCTCATCCTCGTCCCTCCCTTCGCTCAAAACCGGACTCCTAACGCTCTTCCTACGCGCGACCTTACCCTCGCCTCTCTTGCTCGTCTCCACAGCCGAGGTCACGAGCGCAAAGTTCCGGTCTTTGTTGCCACCTGAGCATAACAGCGGCGTTTCTTTATCTACGACGGTCTTGATATCATCTTCTTCCCCTTCTTCCGCTCGTAATCAGTTGGAAATCGACAAAGGGTGTGCGGAAGAGAGTGGACTTACTTGGGAAGAGACGAGCTTTCGTCCTTCTTGTTGTTGTCGCGGGGAATGCTCCGACGACATTGCCGCCGAGAGCTCTGAGCGTGATCGTGATGGAAGAGAGGGGCGATGAAGGTAGCGCCGTCGCCATTTTCGTGGGGCTCGGAGGCGATAGAGCTCGGCCGCCGCTGATACAGAGCGCGTGACTTTCCTTTGATGATTTCTCATTTTATTTTAATTTTCTGTATTATTATACGCCCCCGTTTTACTTTTACCGTCAATTAATCCAATTTCACCTTTTCTCTTTGCCTTTTCTTATTGAAAACCTCATTTTATGTTGTCAGATGTAAATGAAATGCCGATTTTTCCCGATGATTTCCCATTTATTTATTTATTTTCTTTCCTAAATTAAATTTGACAAACGCAGCAAATACTTCTTCTTGTTCTTTTTTTTATCTACGCTATTGTTTTCGTCAATTACTGACAAATTAAGAGTTGCGTTAAACAACTTGTACTATTCTAAATCCTAATTTGATTGCTCTTGCCTGGGGGCCAATTTAACGAATAAAGAAAATTTTTTTGTGAGGAGAATATTAAGAAAAGATCGAAATTTTATCTCCAAATTTTGATTCCTGCCCATTTATCTTGCTTCACAAACAAACATAAATATCAGCAGATTTTGAAAATGTTTTTCCTGACCAAAAGAAGAGGTTTGTGTTTTCAATTGTTACTATTAACTTATTTTCAATCTTTAGCAATCACAACACGGCGCCGACAATATAATCTTTAAGAAAATAGAAATAACGGCACGAGTTAGATTATACGTGATAGTTGACGGGTACATCGGTTTTTGTGATTTTTCGAGATACTAATCCAATTTAACAGATGGTAGATTTGTCACAAATATACCAGTTTGGTGTTCTTTATGGTCAAAAAATTAGTTTAAGGTAAATTAGTCACATGTGTAGCACTTTAGAGTTTTTGATAGTTAAAAAATTAATTTGAGATAAATTTATCAGTTTGAAGTTTTTCGTGGTATTAACTCAAATTTTTTTTATGTTTTAATTCTTTTTAATGGGGTAGGCTGCACTTGATGCCCACGTCACCATTTTTGTTGAGCTTCTCGGGAGGGGTCAAGGTGAATGAACAGCCGTATAGCTCGTTCTAATTGCAAAATGATAAAAAATCTAGGGACGATATTGCAAAAACCTGGAAAGTCCGGGACGTCCCACGCCATCATTCCAAGAAAATAGAATCAAAAGATCGCGCGAGCGTTTCTAAAATTATCGTTTTCCCGCCTGATTAGTCACTTGCTCGACACACTTGCGAAGCCCAAACGACGACACCCGCGCCGGAAAAACTCCAGAAGCTCCCGTTCGCACCTCCCATGGCGACGGCGCCGACCGGAACTTCGTCTCCTCCCTCTCCAATCGCCATCGGTGAATCATCTAGAACCTCGACCGCTTCGACCTCGCTCTCTCGTTTTTTTGTTTTGGACTTGTCCGGCGATGATTCCCCGGCGTCGATCGAACTGAAGTTTTTCCCGCGTCGTTTTCCTCGCAGGCAACTGCGAAGTGACGATCGAGTCCAAGAAGTTCGCTCTGGAATCCGACTCGAAATGCCTCGGCATATCCGTCTCCAGAAAGGCGCAGATCAAGATCGCAGGTACCGATGAATCGCAGGAGGTCCTGCGTGTGCGTCGCGTCTCTGTTCGTGCGTGGTTGCTTCGTTTTTTTTTGTTCTCTCTCGGGTGCCATCGTGTCCACGTCTGAACGCCGCACCTAGTTAGTTACCTTCGAACGTTCGCTGATTATTGTTGTACACGCTCGTTTTGAATGGATTTTGGTAGTGAAAGGAGATGTGAGTAGGAGCAGCAACGATGGAAATAGGCTCGCCGAATGTAAAGGTGAACTAGCACCGTCCCCTTTTCATAAGCTCGGTTAGGCGTAACCGGTTCATCTGACGTTTTTTTTTGCTTTTCTGAACATGTTTTGGCTCAGGCGAGGAGCTCACATTCTCGGGCGACGAGTACTATTTTGTCTTGGTTAGTCCGAAAGATGCCGATTCCCGTTGCAGATCGCTGATTCAGGTCTCTTCTTTTTTCTCTGGCCTCTGTGTCATCATACCATATCCATTATCTGGGTGCTGTTTCTTTCGATTCCTTGTTTAGCATATCTGATCACATGGTTTCTGATCAGTTTTCAGCAGCACTATATTGATCAGTCCTGTTGGATCATTTCACTAGACCTAATTAAGAGCATACCTGCATGCAGGAAGTGCTAAAATTGTATTCGAAAGAGCTACCTGCAATGAATTATGCTGCTAATACGGGGAAGGAGTCGATGTTCCTCGAACGATGCCTCGCCAATGGGTATGGTGCTTTTCCTTTTCTTTTTCTTGATGTCATTCTGACCATATCCAAATTTGGTGGTTTTCCATCCTTTATTCACATTAGAATTTCAGATACTGCACTTTGTTTTGAACTGATTACTCTTCTGTTTTTAATTCTGGGGCTTTCAATGAACTACTACCATCATTTTTGACTGTATCTTGGTATTTATTGCAGAAAATACCGCACACTGCTTTTGAAAAGAAAGTCTCCCGAAGGTCTTGAGGAGGTAGTCATAGTATTTACCTTCTCTTTAAAAAAATTATTTTTCCACCCTGCGCGATGCCATGGCGTCCTGCTAAGAATTTACCTGGAGCTGCAGCACTTGTATGCAATAGTGGTTGATTTGGTTTCCATGTGGAGTTGGCACTTGGCACCAAATTTGTGGGTCATGCAATAGTAATATGGACATAATAATGGCCTAATCCTGATCTATATGCCCAAGCAACAGTGGATCATACGGTAAATGGGCAACCATCTGACTGTTAGCCATTCCATTTATCAGCCTTATGCTAATATTCTTCCACACCACTTGCTGCTCAGCAGAAACCAGACTGCTATGGAAGAAAATGTCTTAGGTTTCTATAGATATTCATACTTTTGGAAGCCATATTTTGCAAAATGTAATCTGCCTGCTGGAAATTCTTGAGATTCACGCTCGAAGTCTGGTATCCAAAGAATGCTCCAGCCATTTCTCACATGCAGTGCAACCAGTAGTGATGCTTTGTTCCCTAAATTACAGCTTTAGATCACAGTCATTGGATTGATGCAAATGTTCTACCTGAAAGGCCCATCTACTGTGCATCATGATAGACTCTGCAACTGCGTCATTCGTGTCATGAACTCATTTATTCTAACAAATCATTATAATTGGGTACGGTGCTCCACCAGTGCATTGCATGAGTATTTTGCAAATCAATATTAGGATAAAATGACTTTCTGAAGTATACAAGGTCATTAATCATCATTCCACCCTTCCCATTCTTCTATATATATATAGGGGAGGGGTCTATGGACACCATAACCTCGCTGTAAACCCCTAGGCAGTGTACAACCTCAAGAATCTTCAGGTTGGCAGATGCCTCTCAGTCATTGTTGATTGATTTTGTTCTGATGATGATCAACAATCTTTGAGACAAAATGAAGTTTATCTTTGATAGTGCTATATTATACTTCTTGCTTGTGCCAATGCATTCAACAGTTTGATGAAGAAATGAGATGCCCAGAGACACAAAATTTACTTGGCTGTTCGAATTAATAACTACTCTCATCTCATTCACGCAGGTTTTGGCTGCAATTACTTATCAAATAGTGCCTGTTGACACACATTATGCTGAGATTCCTCTCGCTGCTGTTAGTGCAATTTACCAGCATAAGGTTAATTTTTAGCTCATTTTTGTCTTATTGCCTCAATTTTTTAAACGTAGCTTGACATGGGGGATGCTGTCACTCTGGTCCTGTCTCCTGTTCTTTCACTAAATGTAGTGCTTCTTATGACCTCAAACATAGTTTCTTTATTTCTGGACTGTGCTAAACTCAAGAGCCAACACATTTCACAATTATGAGAGCTAGTCAAAGCGACGCGTGATAAATTAGTCCTTAATGCTAGAAAGATAGAATTTTTCGTTGATATTCATGATTATGTGAAGTAATTTCAAGTGTATATCCAGAAATTAGCATTTTGTTCCTTATAAACCATTTTCGCTCAATTTAGGCTAGCTCTTCACAAATAAATTGCCATTTAAGGACAAAAAGGAAAGCTTAAGTAATTATGACAATGCCCTTTCTCCTTGTGATGCCATCTCTTATTGTTTATGCTATTGCCATATGCTCGTAATCTCTACAGACAAACACATTGTAAAATTTGGACAACTGCATATTTCTATTCAGGATAAATTATATAAGCAGCATCTAACATTTCGAGCTAAATTATAGTTAATAGAGCGGATCTTGAAGGTCTGTCTTTATTTATTACTTACTTTTCCCCCTTTTTCAGGGCATAGGCCGCCTCTTGTTCATGGAACTGAGAATTAGACTTCAGAGTGTTGGTATCTGCACGATATTTTGCTGGGGAGACAAGGAATCTGAAGAGTTTTGGTTTAAGATGGTAATTTTGAAACTTTTTTCCTAACGGTACTGAAGAGCATTACATGGTCGTATTAGTTCATTTTTTCCCTCCATTTCCCAATTTTGTTATCTGGCCTGTATGCTGTTCAATTAGTCATTACGTCAAAGAAATCTCCTCTAAGTATCTATATTCTCCAAATTATTTTGTTTCAAAGATGTTAGATAGGAATTGTGTAGTTCTGACCATTAGATTTCTTTCTGATAGTTGATCAATGCTGCAGGGCTTTGTATCAGTTGCGGAGGTTGACAGCAAGGGTAGAGCTCGCAGGCTTCCAGTCAGGGCTGACATTCGAAAAGCATTATGCTTTCCAGGTGGTTCAACCCTCATGGTTTCTCATCTTAGCAAGGATATTTCAGTTGATCCTTCAGATTCACTGAAGTTGTCTATGAGGCAAAGCAAGATGTTCTCCTCGTTTGCTTGCGTTAAAATTCAGGGGCTTGGTCCCTCAGGAGAAAATTGTACTACTCTGGCAATGACCAGCGGGACAGAGAACTGTCAACCTGAAGAATTGCTGGCAGATGGGATCACAAGAGAAGCTAAGAAGGCTGAGGGTAAGACACGGATTATTCTTTTTGTTTGACTATTTGCTAAAATACAGCTACATTGCATCTGCACCCATTCTCACAAAAACAAATAAAATAATTGGGGTTTACAAATTTG